CCCTAGGAAATTCTTTGATGCCTACAGCATTCTAGTGTGGACAGGCCTGGATGTGAGTAAGGCCTTAATAGGAGTCACATTAGTATTGGCCCACATGTAGGGAAGTCAGTGGTTATTCATGGCAAATGGATTTTCTTAATTCCAACATTTTTCTAGTGAAGACTTGCCCACTGTTACAACTTGGCCCCTTTTTAATGGAGTGGTTTGCTTGGCTCTTCTTTGGCAGAAGAAGCCAAGCCAGGCCTCATTGTCCAGGCATCTTAGGACCCTTTCTTACCAAAGAAGATCTGTATGATAAGATGATTATTTTTCTAATTGGGATGGATGAAAAGCAGGATTCAGACCTTGGCTACCAGATGGATGGGCATCTCATTTTTTTTAATTTTATTTATTTATTCATAGACTCAGAGAGAGGGGCAGAGACACAGGCAGAGGCTGAGGGAGAAGCAGGCTCCATGCAGGGAGCCCGACGTGGGACTCGATCCCGGGTCTCCAGGATCACACCCCAGGCTACAGGCGGCGCCAAACCGCTGAGCCACCGGGGCTGCCTGGGCATCTCATTTTTGAATGGTTTTATAAACAAGGAGTCTAAGAGGAAAACAGTCTAGAGAAATATCTCCACAGTAATCAGCTTTCTTCCAACCTCTCATCAAGAAAGGTTCATAGTCAAGATAGACAAGTCCTTTTACAGTTCTCCTTTTTTCAAAGCCATTCCAGAAAAACCTCATTTGGACAGGGACCAAGTGTAAAAGTCCTGCAATTAAAACCTCTGTTGTGCAATTTCTAGAGGAGAGGCCATGCAGAGGAGCGGAGGAAATCCAGGCTGGAAGTCCAAGGACTTGGCCCCTAGTCCAGGCCTTGCTGCCTATGCAATATGTGACTGGTCAAGTCTCCTCACCTCTCTAAAACTCAGTCTTACCAAAGGTAAATAGAAATGAAAGTACCCACCCTGTGCACCTAAAAAAGTAGTTCTGAGAATCAAATAAAGTAACAGTTGTGACCACTTTGTAAATCACCATTGAAGGTGGTGCAGTAGAAGGAAAGAATCAGATCTGTGTTCTAGTTCCTTAATAAGCATCTTCTCTTAATAAGCATTCCTTAATAAGCATCATCTTAGTAAAACTGACTATTCCCTGGGAAAAGCTTGAGGCTACAACAGAAAATATAGGCTCTAATCCAGTTACTACTAACTTACTCTGTAGTTTAGGTAAATAACTACCTCTCTTGGTCTCAGTTTGTTCATCCATAAAATAGGGATAGTAATATCTCCCTCATTTTTTTCCCATTTGGAAAATAGGAATAGTAATTGCCCTACTTTCTTACCCTATATATTGGAGATGGTAGGGGCACCTGGGCAGCTTAGTCAGTTAAGTGTGTGATTTTGGCTCAGGTGATCTCAGGGTCCTGGGATGGAGCCCTGAATTGGGCTCCTTGCTCCCTGGGGAGTCTGCTTGTCCCTCTGCTCCCCCCCCACTCCCTCCTCCCTGCTCATACTCTTTCTCTGTCTCTCTCTCTCTCAAATAAATAAAATCTTGGGGAAAAAATGAAGAATATCAGCCAGATCACTCTCTCCAGCAGTGAAATAAATGGGGTGCTTTATTTATTTGCCTACAGTACATCCTTGACATACTTCACAGGATTTGGAGTTTCCAAAGAAGCACATATATTGCTCTGTGGAGGAAAGTTCTAGATGGATGTCTGACATCATTCATTTAGTAAACATTTATGGAGTGTCTACTGTGTGACACTTTACAGGTGAAGGGAAGCAACAGAACCCCCGCTGTCACAAAGCCTATAGTCAAGTGGAAGACAGAAATATTAATCAAATAATCACACTAAGATTGTAGATAGTAGGCATTACTTTTGAGTAAATGTAATGTGAATGTTCTTTCAGTTATGTGTGACATTCCTCCCCCTGCAGAAGCTCCAGAGGCTGTGAGGTGGAGGAAATGTTATCTGATTCTGGTTTTCTAGGTAGTGGCTTCCTAGAATCAGAGAGAAACATTCCTCTCCTTCCTGTTCTCTAGCACTCTGTTTTGGCTAGCATAATTCTTTTTTTTTTTTTTTTTTTTTGTCTTTTAGCTTTTAGCTTTGTAATTTTATTTTGGTCAGAATTAAGATTGCAGGGCGAGGGGTAGAATCCAGTTTTTATAAAATGAAGACTCTTGCCCCAGTGCCAACCTGAGGTTACAACCCTCACCATCACTCCAGCAACTCCATGGAAGGACATGTTTATAGAAGAATAAGGGGAGGCAGTAAGTGATTGAACCCTGCAAATGGCTGTCAGTGTTGCACATCCCGTTTTCCAGTGGCTGCCTCCACCTGGAATGAGGAAAGAAGCACACACTCTGAAAATGCCAGAACAAAAGCTGGAGAGCAAAAGTGCTTGCTGATCCCCACTGTGCTCTTTGTTTTCCAAGAATCCTTAGTGGGACATTGACACTTCATTCATGAGAAGACAGGATCTCTTAATAACATTCACCCCTACTTCCTCCCTGTGACAGCCCTTCCTGGCTCTGAGAAACACCTAGCTGTTCCCTCACCACCTTCCTTTTCAGGACCTTGCAGACCAAAGACAAACCTTGTTTTTCTCCTATTGATTGTTTTTCTAATCTCTTGAACTAGTTTTATAACTCTAGGTGTGTTACTGTCTTCACAGCTGGCTTTTAAATGCACTACAAATTACTCTTCTGATAAATTCCTGCTAGACAAGGAGTTTACGGACACCTTTCAGCACTGTCAGCAATCTAGTCTCCAGTTCTCAGCTTCCGGCACTTAGTTTCCAGGGGACAGCTGCACGTTTCATTTGGCAGGTTAAAGGTTGCTTGCCAGGGTAATTGTGTCCTGAGTCCTGGCATACTCCCACAAGGCCTCCTAATCTCCACTAGCCCAACCTCCATGCAAAGGACATATGCAGACTTGTAGAAGAGGGGGTTGCTTAAAGATGTCCTCTTGTTCTGATCATAGGACTTTAAATAAATGTACGAAAAAAAGGAAAGGCCTTTAAGAACTGGTGGGGCCCAGAATCTCATTTTTCTATCTCTTTTTGCCTGGTATATAGATCACACAGTTGAACATGAGGGATTGTTTCTTCTTTTAGCTTCATCTCTATATGCAGCCCAGTTTTGTTGAGATAGACTATCCGCCCAGGAAGAAGGCAAGTTTGAGACAAAGGTGCTTCCTTTCCAGCTCCATCCAGCCTCAGATCTTGTATGTATGGTTGCTGCTCTTCCACCTGCCTAGGCCCCCTCCCTCTCCCATTCACAATCTCATCCTACAACTTTTCAGTGTGAAAAGTATATTCTGTATCCCAGAGGAATAAAATATATTGCTTTTAGGATGTGAAAATTCTCTTCTTGTCCCCTTTGACCAAAATAACCAGATGCATGGCCTGGGATTAAAAAATGAATTTTGATTTAGAAGTGAAAGTTTCAGGACTGGACTGAGGTTGAGTTATGGTTAAGATCTGAAGGTCTGGGCAGCCCAGGTGGCTCAGCGGTTTAGCGCCGCCTTCAGCCCAGGGTGTGATCCTGGAAATCCGGGATCAAGTCCCACGTCAGGCTCCCTGCATGGAGCTTGCTTTGCTTATCCCTCTGCCTCTCCCTCTCTCTCTCTTTCTTTCTCTCTCTCTCTCTCTGTGTGTGTCTTATGAATAAATAAGTAAAATCTTAAAAAAAAAAGATCTGAAAGTTCTTTTTGAAAACTTTTCATTTTTGAAAGTTGAGCATAAAATCCTATACTCTGCATCTTGTTCAGCCCAGACCTGGTTCCAGACCCTTTAAGAGAGTCAGTAGAAATTTGAGATGTCCTCAGAACACTGTTAAACCAAGCTGGCCTCATAATACTCCAGTTCTGCACTTCTACCTGGATCCACTTAGTCTCTGCCTCTTCCCTCAGACCTTTAGTAGTGCAGCTGGATGGGGCTCAAGGAGAGAGCTTTCAGAGCACCTGTGCAGTGCACCTTGATGACCACCTTGAATCATAAGAAGTAGAGGAAAGCTTGGGAAGGAGTATGTCAGGAGCTGCCCCTACCCTCTTACTCCTCCCCTGCCCAACACACTTCCAGTAGCCAACCTTCAGTCCTTGCTGCCAGCCTCACCTCTCAGGAGAAAGCCAGTCTCTTGCACATGGAAGGAGAAATAGATTAGTGGAGAGCGTGCTGGATTAAGCATCAGGAGACCAAATTTTGGATCCAATTTTATCCATCAGTAGCCATGGAATTTGGAAAAGGCACTTAACCCCTCTGTGTCTTAGCTTCTTTGTAAAATAGAGAGAGAAATACATGCTTTTCCTCCTCTTCCTGTACTTCATAAGGTTGTTGTGAGGGTCACATGAAACAGTGGAGGGGGATGACCTTTAAAGGATATAACACTGAACCTTTGCACTTCTACAAACCACTTTGTAGGACTAGGACTGTTTTTATAGGGTTATTTCATGTTCCTCACCAAGAGGGGGCTGACATGTCTCGGGTGAAAGCCAACCTCCAGGAGTGCTGTCGACACTCATAGGTCTTAAAAAATCCCAGTCATGGGATATGACCACAATCTGTCCAAAACATATTGTCTTTAGGCTCATTTTTGAAGCTTTCTACCCTGCAGAGTATCTCTGAGAACAGCCTGCTTTTCCAGTCCTGCCATTTCCAGTTAGTCTTATGACCTTTGTTACCTCGGGTGGACCATGGTACAACCCTGTAAGAGGGTTCTGAGGTTCAATACCCAAGCCACCACTTACTACCATGTGGACTTGGGCAATGCACTTGGTATCACTAAGACTTAGTTTCCTCCTCTGTAAAATGGGAGAAATGATATCTGACTCTGTAAAGGTGTCCTGAGGACTAAAGGAGACATGTAAATTATTACTAGACACACCTGCCTGAAGGGATTTACACATTCCAAAGGCATTTTAGAATCAAACCAGAGATGAGACGACTCCTGCAAATGCCAGTCCTGCCAATTGTGCTGACTTCCTGTCTCCCTTGGCAACCTTGATACTTCATGCAGGGAACATCATTGGCTCTGGAATCTTCGTCTCGCCGAAAGGTGTGCTGGAGAATGCTGGCTCTGTAGGCCTCGCCCTCATTGTCTGGATTGTGACTGGTCTCATCACAGCTGTGGGAGCCCTGTGCTATGCTGAACTTGGGGTCACCATCCCCAAATCTGGAGGTGACTACTCCTACGTCAAGGACATCTTTGGAGGACTGGCTGGGTAAGAGGATCTGTAGAGGCCTGGGTGGTCTAGAAACCGAGGCCAGTGGTTTCCAGTATGCCAAGGAGAGCTACAGAATAGGATTCCTCTTTTGCCTCCCTGTCATGGTTGCTAGTGTAGCTCTGTGTCCCCTTGATTCTCCTGAGGGTGATGGAAGAACCAGGTTGTAGTCTTGACCTCTCTGTTGATCTCAGTGGGCAAGATTCAATGGGTGACAGCAAACAGAACTTTATGACAACTCTGACCATAAATTTTCAGGGAAAGCACCTCACAAAACAAAGCCCTCTTCTCTTGACAAATTAGAGTGGCCACCTGAGAAACAGGGTACCCTCATCTCACATGACCAAAGATGATACCTCCCTACAGAGCCAGGCCCTGATCTTGAATTTCCTCAGCCTCTGCAGCCCTGCTACTGGGGAGCTGAACTCTCAGCAAGGTGCCAAGGATGTGGAGGGCACTTACCCCTCACCACCCCACTCTGGGCGGCACCTGGCAGTTGCTTAAGCAGCCACACCCTAAGCATGTTCTGGCTATCAGAATTCTGGGATTTCCAATTTTATTTTCCACTGCTGGATGTGAGGGGCCAGAGAATAGAGAAAAGATGGTCAAAGGAGAGAGGAGAGAGAAGGAATGCCAAGACGTGTGTTCATACTAGTAAACACTTAGCTCCTCATCATCACACCACTTTGTCATTGCAGACAGCCAGCTGTCTTGTTGAGCAAGGGCTGGGCTTCTCAGCATTCCAGAAAACAAAAAAGAAACATACCTCTTTCGCCCCTTTCGCCCACCCACCTCTCCTAACGCTGCCCAGTGACATGCCCAGGCTTCCCCCAATGACTTGTGAATCCTTGCAGTGCAGTTGGTGGGGGTAAGGGTCTCTGCAGCTGTCTTGAGTCAAGTTCTGTCCTGTTCCCCTTCAGGTTCCTGAGGCTATGGATTGCGGTGCTGGTGATCTACCCCACCAACCAGGCTGTTATCGCTCTCACCTTCTCCAACTATGTGCTGCAGCCGCTCTTCCCCACCTGCTTCCCCCCCGAGTCTGGCCTTCGACTCTTGGCTGCCATCTGCTTATGTAAGTGCCATCTGGGCCTTGTTCTCAGGATGGACTTCTTTGGCCACATGTCTCCAATTCTCCTTCCTCTCCCTCTTTCTTTCCTTCCCTCCTTTATTTTTTCCCCATTACTTTTCCTACATGGGTGCTTTGGATGAATTCATTCTGCATGTAATCAGGTGGTGTTGAAAAAAAGAAGAAACGTGGGTAGCAGCTCAGAGGCACAGTAATTTTCACCAGCAAGGCTCTTTACATCATACACAGCACTTTCATCTATATTATCTGATCTGAGCCTCATGACAAATCCATGAGGTAAGCAGGGCCAGTATTATCACTTTCCTAGAACAGATAAGGAAAGGAGCCAGGCAAGTGACATACCCAAGGTGGCATGCCCTGAGTGGAGCCCAGGTCTCCTGATCCCTTCACTATGTACACCGTACACTGTGCTGGAGGCTCCCTGCTGCACACAGGGAGATTTTTCTGGCTTCAGCCACCTCTACCTCAACCTGCCAGCTCACTCATCTTAAAACTCTATGGGAGGAGAGTGTGAAGTCGGGAGTTGGGAGAAAATAAATGCATTATTCGTGGTCCCCCCCCCCCCTTGATACATTTGCTGTCTAACTGGGGAGAAAAGCCATATAGACAGGTTCTGCGGTGAGGATTCAATTGCAATAAAAATTCAGAGAAGGGAGAAAGATGTCTGTGAGCTGGGATAGTTTAGAGATTTGTTGTAGAGAAGGTCTGCAACCCATATTTTTAGGAATTCTCAGGAATCTCAATGGATTGGGGTATTTTTATATCTTTTAACCAAAAACTAATTTTTAAAGATTTAATTTATTTGAGAAAGAGAGAGCATGAATGTGAGCAGAAGGAGGGGCAGAGAGAGTGGGAGACAAGCAGACTCCCTGCTGAGTGGGGAGACCAAACAGGGCTGGATCCCAGGACCCTGAGATCATGACCTGAGCCAAAATCAAGAGTCAGACACTTAACCAACTGAGCCACCCAGGTGCTCCCCACAAAACTAATTTCTAAAGTAAATATTTGGATTTTTTTCAAAGGGTCCATTTTTGGAGTTAACATGATCCCTGCCTTACCATACCTTTCAACACACATACACTTAGCTGAGACCAGTGACCATCCAGGTCACAGCCTTTCCTAGGTCTTGACATTTTCCTTCTGTCATGCTGGTGGGAAAGGGAGGGAGGGGTCACCCCAAAACCTCTCACAGGGCAGTCAGCTGGATCCAATGAGTAGTCTCCTTGGCAAGTGTGCCCTCTTTGGCAGTGGTATTCAGCTCTGGGATAGCCCCCAACCATACAGGCAAGTGGTACTATGGGGTCAAGAGACTTGTTTGGGCTGTATTCCTTGTGCTTAGTCAGGCCTGCTTATGGCCCTTAAGGCAAAGGAATGGGGGCTCCAGAACCAGGTTGCCTGAGGCTGTATCCCTGCACAGCTCTCTAATTGTGCCAAGTGCTTGGCCAAATTCTGTATCCCACCCTACTGTGAGATGGGGGTTGTAACCCTGCCTGCACAGGAGGTCATGGTTGCAAGGGTTGCATGAGATAACACATGTTCTTAGCACAGGGTCACATAGTCACTGAGGGTGGTCACTGAGTGTAGTCACTCAGTCCTTGCTTGCTAGCTGGATCCAGATGTGGGAGGGAGCGGTGGCAGGGAGGAGCGTGGGAATGCAGGAAGAGTCTCTGTTTCTGCCATCAGTCAGGTTAGTGAGGGTGGGAAGGAGCACCCCATAAGTGCTGGCCACTGCTATTTCAGTGTCTCGTGCATGAAGACTCGGCTTCCTTTTTCCTGCTGATACTGCTGAAGTGTCAGACAAGAGGCCACCCTTAGTCTCCAATGGGAAATTGAGAACCCTAAGACTTGTCACTAAGAAGAGAAACCAGGCCATAGGGTAGAGTTCCTAGGCAGCTGACCTACAGCTTCCTTTGTCTTTCCCCTAATCTGCCAAGGGTAGGTGACCCCTTGTGCAAAGACCCTCTACACTAAAATAGCCCCATAGATGTCCCTTCAGGCCAGACAGGAGATGAGGACTGCTACTGCCTATAGCCCAGCTCCAGAAAGACAGGTTGTATGCTGTCCCCTCTGCAGCCCATCCCTCACCTAGACAATCCTAGCACCAAGAGAAGGAGGAATTTAGAAACTCTGATGACAAAATAACAAAGTCCTCTCCTCTCTCAATTCCTACCATCGAAGTTCAATAAAGCTTATCTGGTTTGTCCTCTGCCTCCTAAATAGAACTGCAAGGAGATTATCTCAAACTTAACATTGGTCAATCTTGTCCTCCAGAGAGAGGAATTTTTCAGTGTCCTTGAGATAGGTATTCAAGTACTTTTTGACCTTCATGAGCAGAAAACCTTTCTTAAACCCAAACTTATTTATCCTCATTCCTTTTAGAGGAGATGGGAAACAGCTCCTCACCTCAGTCCAAGTGCTACCCCCTTCCTCCCAGATATGAAGGCCATGTGGAACCCATAACCCCTCTCCCTACAGAGGTATTCATGTGGATGTAGCCACACACTCACACTTTCTCATCCAAACACTCCCAGCTATTCAAGTCTATGCCAAGAAAGGTTCTGTTTTCTGGTTTGTTGAATACTTTTTTTTTTAAACATACTTTTACAGGCCCCTCAAATCATCTCTTAAGATATCAAATGAAATAGCCAAACAGTCAGGAAGGCTTGATGGGTGCTACTTTCCCTAAATGCTTTCATCTTAGCAGGTGCCAGGCCAGCCGGCTGTGTGAAAATAGGCCTGGTGTTCTTTGGCAGTAGAACCAAGAGTGGCCCAGTCTAGGTATATTTTTGAGAGAATCACTGGAGAGCTTGGGCTCTTCTGAATGTATTTAAACAAGAAGCTCTGCTTTCTGCTGTGTCATTTGGGCATGCAGATGAAAAGCTCCACCCACTGTAGGACAGAGTTTTTGAGGGAAAGGCCACCCTCTGCAGGGGTTACTGGTGTGTCATGGAGGGAGCTAGAAGTCAAGGTAGGGATCCTAGCAAGGAGAAGCCCTGTGGCAAAACCCCTGGCTGGAGTTGGCTGTGGGAGGGAGGAGATGAGGTCAAGTCTGGTTCTGCGGTAGAGCCAGAGTACTTTGGATGAAAAATGGTGGTGGGACAGCCAGATGGGGCTGGAGAGGTGGGGAGAACCTGCTGGAACTGGCTTGCCTGCAAGGAGCCTTGGGGGGAGGGAGAAGGAACTGCAGATTTGGATCTGCTTATGCAACTGCAGCTGCCACTTTGAGTTATTCTATTATGTAGGTCAAAGCTGATTATTCACTGCTGAGTCAGCAGAATATCCCTAGCTACCAAGCAGTAAAAAAAAGACCATATTTTACATTTTAATTAAATAAAAAGCTTTCTCCCTTCTCCAGAGCATGCATATTAGTGGGAGGAGGAACTTAGGAAAAAGTAATACGAGGTGTTGAAACTTGGTTTAAAGTGGTTTGGGTGCCTTCTGTGATTTGCTTGGAAAGTTTCTCTTTTCACTACTTTGCAAATAAAGGACTATCTTTTCTCTCTCTCAATCTCTCTCTCTATACATATATATATATATATATATATACATATATATATATATACACACACACACACACATATAGGGAGAGAGAGAGAGAGATTGAGAGAGAGAGTCGACTGTGAAAACTTCCCCTTATCTTCACCCCTCTCCCCTGCCCAGGAGCCTTGCTAGCAGTGGACAGGTATCCTTCCAGTTCTTTTTTTTTTTTTTTAAGATTTTATTTATTTATTCATGAGAGACACAGAGAGGCAGAGACACAGGCAGAGGGAGAAGCAGGCTTCATACAGGGAGCCTGACGTGGGACTTGATCCCTGGTCTCCAGGATCATGCCCTGGGCTGAAGGCAGCACTAAACCGCTGAGCCACCCAGGCTGCCCCCAGTTCTAAGTAAAATACATCTCTCCGCGTGTGCCTGGGCATATAGACATATATATTGTTAGATTATTTCTTCAGCTTGCTGTTTTATCACTTAGCTATCTCTTTTGGCTATTTCCTGAGTCTCTGGCTATAAACAAAGTGGTCCCAGTGACACTGAAGCAGCATCAGGTGTTCTGGGGGTCCCCCATGTGTGCTTCTTGCTTCCTTACTCTGGGTTTTCCTTCAGGATCTGTTTGTCTCCCTGTCCTTGGGACTGGGCCCCTTCCACTCAGGCAACTTCTGGCCTCCTTCCTCTTCTTGGGGGCTGGGGTCATGTCCGGATCTGAAGCAGAATTTTTTTTCTTCTCATTCAAGTCTCCTCTTCCCCCTGAATACCTGTACTACAGAAGTTCCTTCTCATTTCTCTCCCTGAGGGAACAAGAGTGCCCTGCATGCATGTCACAAGTCAAAAACAAAACAAAACAAAACAAAAAAAACAAAAAAACAAAAAACAAAAAAACCTGCTTCTTATCTTGCTTTCTATCTTTCTACTGAGATTCCTAAGAGGCTGGTTTTTTAGGGCTTCAGATTTCTCCTTCTCTTCTTCCTCTTCCTCCTCTTTTTTCTTCTTCTCCTTTTTCTCCTGCTTCTCCTTCTTTTTCTTCTTCTCCCTCAAGCAATTTAGAAGAGAAAGGACTTTATTGTACATATAACTTTTAACCCTGAATTGCTTTCCAATTCCTCTGTGGTAAGTTCCTAGGTCCTTGATGCAGAATGCTATGATCGATAAACCTGTGTGTTGTTTTGCAAGTCTCTTGCAAATTAATCCCTTGACATCAGAGGGTTCTAGTCTTTCCTAACTTCTAAGTCCCTTAATCTCGGTTCATTTTCCTTTGAGGTTTCACATTCTCTAGCCCCAAAATTATCACCATAAACTAAACCTGTTGCCTCAGATGCCTGAGCAACAATGCCTTCTTGCCCTCATTAGCCCCCAGAGTTCTTTGGGTATCTCATTATCCTTGTACATATGAATCCAGACAAATCCAGACTGCCTACATTTGATTCCCATACATCCAAGTCATCTTCTTTCTCTGTACATCTTCTAGCTAGCCAGCATTTAAACTCTAA